GCGCCGCGCCCGGGGGCTGCGGGCCCAGCATGGTGTAGGTCTTCCCGCTCCCGGTCTGGCCGTAGGCCATGATGCAGACGTTGTACCTGGAAGTGAAGGGGGCTCACAGGCAGCCACACGGCTCCAGGGGACCCGTCCCCACAGGAGAGCCTCCCCCGGCACCGCCTCTGTGACGGCCTTGCTCACGGCCCCTCCTGGACCTGCGGCCGCAGTTTGCAAAGTGGTCCCGGGGCTGCCTGGTGGCGCAGCAGGGACTGAGCCACACCAGTCACACACGCATCCCCTCGCCGTGTTTCTCGTGTCAGCGTTCCCTCCTGGGACCCAGGCTGGTCCCCGCCCCCAGCGCACGGCCCCTGCGGAGTCCCACCCCCGAGCCCACTCACTCCAGCTTCCGGGGCAGCAGGGGGTTTGCCTGTGGGAGCTCGTCTCCTCAAACCAGGCTGCCTGTGCCCTGGCGGCTGCTCAGTGGTCGGAGCACCGGCCGCAGCCCCGGAGGGGGAGGGTGTGGCTCCTGGCCAGGGCATGTGCTGGGCTGCAGGCTCCTCCCCGACCTGGTCAACGCCCGTGCAGGGGGCAGCCAGTCCTCGCCTCTCTCTCTCTCTCTGCCCCCTCCCTCCCATGCTCTAAGAATCGATGGGAAAATATGCGTGGGGGGATTTAAACACAGCCAGGCTTTCATGTACACGAGAGGGGAGGGAGCTTGCACGATTCCCTGTGAGGATCTAGAAAGGCACCCACTGCATAGGCGGCCAGCGCTGCGGACAAGAGCACAGCAAGGGCACACCTCTTCCTGCACTGCTCTCCCCAGGGACTTGGGAGCCAGGAGGGCCAGGTCCCCTCCGTGCAGGCAGGCTGTCCCCCGACCCTGCACTTTGGGGAGCTGCCCCGCAGCTCACTTCACAGATGAGGAATCCTGGCAACCCACACTTCCTGCCACTTGGGTTACGAGCCCCGATGCCAACGGGAGGACACAAACATTTGAAAGAATATTTGAGCCCTAACCGGTGTGGCTCAGTGGATAGAGCGTCAGCCTGCGGACTGAAGGGTCCCGGGTTCGATTCTGGTCAGGGCACAGGCCCGGGTTGCGGGCTCGATCCCCAGTGTGGGGTGTGCAGGAGGCAGCCGATCAGTGATTCTCTCTCATCATGGATGTTTCCATCCCTCCCTCTCCCTTCCTCTCTGACATCAATAAAAATATATTAAAAAAAGAAAGAGCGAGCTCTCCCGGGTTCTAGTGGAGGACGTGCCCCCTGGATGTCAGACCCAGGACCCCCTGAAGCAGGGCCTCGGGGTGGCAGCGGGTGGCGAGGGGGTGACGTGATGTGCAGACACGGCCCTGTGACCTGACCCCACAGCAGTCACGGGCACCCGAGGCCTCCACTCGCCTTTGCATGGAGCTGTGCCCACTGACCTGAACCACGACCCAACTCACCCGTCCAGCAGAGACGTGAGCAGGGGGCACACGTCTGCAAACACCGCGGCCTGGCCCTCCGCCGGGCTGTAGACCCTGAGGAGCAACACAACATGGGGCGTCGTTAGGGGGAGGGGCTCTGGTATCCAACACCCCAGCTGGGAACACCCCCCTCTGCTCCCCCCACACCCCGACGCCATCCGGACTCATCGTTTCCATCAATAAAAGATTGTAGCCCAGCCAGTGTGGCTCAATGAGCATTGACCTATGAACCAGGAGGCCACGGACCAATTCCCGGTCAGGGCACGTGCCCGGGTTGCGGGCTCGATCCCCAGTGGGGGGCGTGCAGGAGGCAGCCGATCCATGATTCTCTCTCATCCTTGATGTCCCTCTCTCTCCCTCTCCCTTCCGCTCTGAAATCAATAAAAATATATTTTAAAATAAAAGATTGATTTTATCACTTTTCAAGGCAGCAGAGGGTAAGGCAGAGTGGAGAGTCATTTCCTCGGCTTTGAAAGGGAAGAAGCTGAAGCAAAGTGATAGATGTTTGCCAAGCAGCAGCAGCAAAGAGGAAAGGAAGCCGCGTCGCTGCGGCCTAACAGCTCCCGGGTGCCGGTCCGACAACGACTCTGCCGGCGCCTGGTGATTATCATTCAATTTCACGGCCAAGCTCTTCGCGTACCGTCTTCCTGGCCGGGTCAGTGCATGGACGTCAGCCGCGCCGCGGGACCCAC